GAAGATGGGACAACTACTGGAACCAAACAAGCAGAAACTATTGAAACAATATTTACTTACTAATATGGACACTATAGTGCTGAATTTAAAAACCGTAGCTACAAAATTGAAGAATGTAAAATCTGTGAGTCCTGAAATGGAACAACTGCTAAAGATTTCAGAATCTGGTATTACACAAGTTGAAAATTATTCATTCCTACGTCGTTTGTTAACTGATTTGTTTGACGAAGAAGAAGAGAGCGTTAATCAGCATATCGCTCTTTTAGATCGCATTCATGCAGAAGTTCATACTACATATCAAGAAATATTAATTGATGGAGTTCAAAGGCACTTGGAGAGATCGAGAGTGGAAGATGGGTCATATTATGATGTATTGATTGCCGATTTGCAAAAGAATTTAAAAAATATAGATAAAGAAGAAAATTTACTTAGAAAAACTAAAGAAAACAATTTAGCAGTCGCTGAATTTATTAGCGATAGTAATCCTACAGGTAAATCAGAATTGGAAAGAAAAAACGTTAAAATCTTAAAGAAAAGTAAAGAATCAGGTACTGAAAAGTTAGAAGATTTTGAATATTTCATATTAACGGAAATAGAAAAAGCTGTGAAATATTCTGAGCAAAATATCTTACAAAAATATGACGATATAAGCGATGAATCGAAAAATATGATAAAAAATAAAAATGATAAGAATATTGTCAAATCCGGCGAAATTACTCTGCACTCTTCTCAAAATCAGAGTGAGAGCAAAAATAGAAAGAATAAAGTTCGAAGTACCTTTCAGAAAGAGATAGATCTTTTTCAAATAACAAAAATAGTAGATGCAAAATTTAAAGAAACAACTACAGACAAGAAGATAGAAAAGTCTTCTGCAAATTCTGTATCGAGTGATATTAATAAAATTCACATCTTTGATGCGTCTATGGCTGAGGATACATCTAATACGAGGATTACGTCTCCCAATAATAAACATACTTTGTTACAAGAATTACAAAAAGACATTAGTGATATACAGAATAGTCACAAGACTGATTTAAGAACAAAGTCATCCAGCCGGCAAAATTTTGTTGAAAATAAAATTATGTCCACTGATTTACTGGAAGAGTTTGAAAATCCTACGTGGGTTATTAATGAGGAAAAAATATTTCAAAAGAAATCACAAATTGCAGATACGCTACATAGTACCACAAAACCTAATAAAGTAAAATATGATGATAAAAAGTGCACGAATAAAGATAAAGGAACTAAACCAAAATCGCATATAGCTAAACATATCCATAATGAATTATAACAATAGCTTTGAAACTTAGACTACAATTGTAATTATTATGCAAAAACAGAATTTCCATCGGCCATAAGGCTACTGCATTATAACTGATATTTTTACATTGTGATCTAGATGTGCATATAGTCAATACGTTCCGTGCCACGTGTACCTTTGATGATACATGTTAAACTTTTTGTTCAGGCCGCATATTCCATAAATAGTACATGATGTGATGACTTCTCTTTACATATATGCATGGCTATCCTGTGCGCGGTGATAGTTCGACATGGAACGTGTTAATTGATCTTTAGAACACCTCATATGTGTGTGTGTTTGCGCGCACACACATACATACACACACGCGTGCGCGCAGAAGTATTCTAGAAAAATTATACCTATCTGATAAGAAACATAAAATTGTCAGATTATACTACTGCTATATTATAATTAGGCATATAAGGAATCTATTGATTCTAAATTGGTGCTTATATATAAGAAAATTTATTAAGTCTCATAGATATTACCTATAAGACACAAGTGTTGAAGTGGTTGTGAGAATGTAAGAAAGGTGTTAAACTCATGTACATATATTTTGTGTATTACTGTATAATATTCTGTATGCAAAAATAGGATAGCAGTAAAATTTTTTCTTCCATGGAAGCAGTTTTGACGTATCTACTATATAATTTGTATTATATATAACTGTATATGATTGTAAATCTAAGAAATAGCACTATTCCGTGATGTGAGAGTATAATACATTTCAAATGAGAATGAAGAGTATGAGAACTAGATGCATTACTATCCTTTTTTGACGTTTACATTATTTTACTAAAGATGTGCCATAAATAATGATATAATATATATTTATCTTACAATGCAGTTTAAAATAATATTTAATATAAAAAATTAAATGTTCGAATTTTTTCCATTTTTTGCAAATACTTTAACGTCAATCATTTTTGTCGATATGAATATAATGTTAAAAAAATATATATACATTTATATATGCAAAATGATATTTGTCTGAAGTGTGTAATATTATAATCTTTGTACCAATATTGCCAATTGCATATAGATACTATTGTAAACTATTCATTAAACTGTTATTAAGTATATATATCTATATAGAATTTTAGTTGTTATAATTGAGTGCATTGTATTTAATTTTCAAGTAAAATACATTTAAATCTTTATTTACTTATAATAAATAAAATTTTATAACAGTTACAAAATATTTGTTTTACAAATTATAAGGTAAAATATGCCTTAAATATATATGTACAGAAAAAATGTCAATGTATATAATGTATAAGAAATATTGCGTTATATATACATATATATAATGGACTGTTATATGTATATAATGTAAATTTTAATATGATATAAATGGATATTGAAGATAAATTTGGTCTCTTATGACAACTTCCCACTTTACACATTTTCATTTGTTCTTGTGTGACTTTATATATCAATTATATGTGAATATATATTTCAAACAGTATTAATATTTTTTTATAATATTATAACATACTAATTCTCCTTAATCTCTTTAATGTTGTATATGATTTAATGATATTTTTTTATATTATCCATAGACCTCATAATGGACTGGCAATATAATAGCAAAGATGTGAAACAAGAAAAGTATGACATATATATATATATATATA